TATAAAGATGGCTCCCTCATCAGGAAGCAGCCTACAGGTCACATGACCATCCAGCATGTTTCCAGGTCTGATGAAGGCCTCTACAAGTGTGACATCAGCGGTCATGGAGAGTCTCCATCCAGCTGGATCACTGTCACAGATAAAATTTAGCTTTCTTTCAAAAATATCAAACCCAAAGTGATTCAAACTGGCCACAAAGATTTGCGTTTCTCTTCACTTACAGGTTCGTCCAACTCTGCGCTTCCATCAGCCTCCAGTACCTCCATCCACTTCTCCTCGTTTTCCTCTCCTCCTCCTCAACGATCCTCTCCTCCTCTCTCTGTGATTGTGTCTATTCCCTCCATATTTGGGCTGCTGCTGGTTGTACCGGTTGTACTGGTGAGACGCTGTGTTCGGAGGAAAGCTGAAGGTAAGACACACATTCTGGTCAGACTCTGGGAGATTTGGGTAATGGGTGTTAAACAATTTTAAAGGGACATTTCACTTCAAAATCAAATCTACAGTTTTTGTCTACTGAGTGCCACAAAGCTGACATATGAAACATTGAACAGCTCAAACTAAAATTTCAAAATGGATACAAACCAAACACATGATTCTAAGGTGACATGTTTTGGGGGGGGGGGTTTAAGAGTCACATGACTGCTGAAATGTTGCTGCCTTTGTGAGGACCTTTGCAATTTTAAATCAAAGTTAAATTAAGTTAGCAACTGTACACAAGTTTGTACTTCAGCATTTCACATTATTTAATATATTTAAAAATGTAACATTTAATAAATTTGAAAGGTATACATTTTAGTTGTTTTCCTGTGTGTGAACTGTGATGTGTTCTGTGATGACATATGAGACTTTGTGGTCAAAGAGTTTCGATGTGAGGAACATGTGCCGCAGTCCAGTTTCCTGTTTTCTGACTTAAAAAAGAAAAAAAAGAAACCCTTTTACATGGTGTTCCTATTTATATTGCTATAAAACATTATCAGCTAACTTATAAATCTGAATGTTCCAAATGTTGGAATTGCAGCAGTATCAGTTCTGTTATAAGTGAAATCTTTGGATTTGGTTTTGCAGATAGAGATCGTCCAGCAGCTGCCATCTACTCATCAGTGACAAGAACAGTAGCAGACGACCGATACGGGTCAAAGAGGACGAAAGGTACAGAAAGTTTATGGCTAGATTCATTTCAAGGCAGAGAGGCTCACAGGAAATTGGAATATTGAAAAATAAAGCTTCAAAACACTGATGTTGAAACAGCTGTTGTCTCACTTCACAAACGATCCTGTCATATCTGTCTGAATCAGATTTCAAATGATTAGAAGGAATAACATGACAATACATTTTAACATTTTACTGGTAAACAGACAAAATGTTGCAACACTTTTATGTGTGGACGTTGATTCTTAGAATGAAGAATGTATTGCTTTTGTATTGAAATTTGAATCAATAACATGTGAATCATTTGGAAGTTTGTGGCCGCCATAACTGGAGCTGACCATCCACCACGTATCAGTGGTCTGTCTTTGAGGTTTGGAAGCTTCGAATCTTTTTTCTGTACAGTCAGGAAGAAGTCTCAGAAGCTTTTTTCTGAACTCCTTTTATTTCTTACATTAAACCGGACCTGTCCTGGTTACATCCGTCTGCATATTTTCATTCTTGTGTTCTTTTAGCGTAGCTTTGCATGATTCAGATGTTAAAGTAACCATTGGTGCAAACCCTCGGCTCATCCTCTTGGTTTTTTTAGCATCCACTCAGGCATTCTTCTGTGAGAACTGAAAGTTTGTGTAACTTGATGTTTAGGTCAAGGTCGTGCTTACAATAGCTAGTTAGCGCTTTGATATCCAAAGAAATCCACAAGATTTTCTTTGAAAAGTTGAATGAAGAACTATCACAGTGTAAAACTGTGGAAACCCCCCCCCACCAAAATCGAAACTAATATTACTTTATAATACATTACAATAATAGACTCTTCATGATGCAACAAATTTATGTTACTGATAAAGTAAAGCAGACAAACTGCTAGCTTATTGGGGGGTAACGCCTTCAAATCAGCTAATTTCTGATAAACCAAAATAAAAATATAAGAAAACCAACAAAAATAGGAAATAATGTCATAACTAGGCAGAAATAATACATCAACTATTTACAGACAAATGTGTACATTAAAATCCAGTGAGATAATCAACTATTTAAATTACAACATCTTTTATCAAAGACAGCACACAGTCCTGATAACATGATACCAACCAGCTAAAGTTTATCCACTCATGTTGAGCAGAAACATTTGGTTTTCTGTGCAGCATTTGAACACAGAACAGTTCAGCTCTGTGATGAGGCCGTACTCAGGATCAGGTACAAATTTACTCCAAAGCCTTTTATTTCATATTGCTTGGATTATTTGGTTTCACGGCTTAGCAACAGCTTTCTTTACATGATGCATTGTTTTGACACATGAGCAGCTTTGTGTTCATTAAGCTTCCTGTTTTGAAAAGTAAACTCAGCAGAGGTGTTAAAGTCACCTCAGGTTAAAGGGAGGATGTGCCGTGTCCTTATGTTTGCAGCTTTAATTCATGAAAACTCCATTTTTATCTCATCCTAAAAAATGAGTTTCATGTGAGTCACATGACTTTGTTTTGTTTTGCAGAGACTGATCCACCTGCAGTTTATTCATCAACAGCTGACGTCAGTTATGGAGAAATCACCATCAGGACAAACAGCAGGCACAGAGGTACAGCTGCTCAGGTTTGATACTTGCTCCAAAAGTGTGCTCACATGAAGCTGCTTATCGGCTCCACAAGTCAGACTGTCTACATAACAGAAGATAAATTATAACATTAGAAAAATATGAAGAGGTTAAACACATGAGACACAAAGCTACTGGAGAGAAATCTGGGTCTGAGAGGAAAAGTATTTTATGCAAATACAGTTTAAAAAAAAACAAAAACATTGTGTGTCACTGTGAAAGTGTTGTAATCAGGTGTGAGTGATCATTAAGACTAGAATAATATTATTACAGGACAGAGAGGAGAGGTGAAAAGAGAAACAGTTTGCCTCCTGACATCTAAACTTTCTGTAATCTGTGTGTTTGTGTTCAGATCTTCCACCAGAGCCAGCGGTCATCTACTCCTCACCGAAGCCGAGCCCCACACCTTCACCACAATTTAACTAGTGTGACCAGTGAAGTCTAGCTGGCTGCCAAACACATCCCTGCTCCCCTCTCTATATTATTTATTTAATCATATTCTCTGTGTGTTTAGTCATACAGCTGCACTGAACCAATGATGAAGTGGAAATAAAACATTTTTTATATTAAGCGGTTCCCCCCATGCTGATGCAACATCAGAGATTCAAAAAGTCTCTTACCTGAAGCAGAATGAACAAAGTTCAGTCTGAAAGTCTGCAGAGCTCATTTCTGTAAACAGCTGCAGCACATTAGCATACACCACTCTTTTATTTTATTCTTTAGCTGATCTGAACCTCACCAAGAATCATTAAGGAGTGTAGGAATGTCATTTCTACTTTAACAGACTGAGCATCCTCTCTGCTGAAATGCAAACAGGAGAGGTAGCAGGTATCTTGTCCCCAAAGCATAATTTCAAACTGGTGCTAATGAAATATGCAATGTGACATAACTGCATCAAAACTACCGCTGGACTTTATCATTAGAGGCACTGTCGCAAAGCAACAATCACACAATGTTTTGCTACACGTGCACCAGAGTTCATGACATGCTTCGATTTTTGGGCCACTTTTAAATAAACTTACGACATGGTGCAGTGTGACAGACATCAGTTCCCTCAGCTGATATCTTTCTAACAGAAGCAGTGACATGCACAGACTGATCCTGATGAAAAACTTGTAGATTTAGTTATTATTTTCAAGTTGGGCACCTAGTTGTTTTTCTTTTCTCTTTATTCATGCTCATAATAAGTCTTCAGTCTGTGCTGTAAATATGTTGCACTGCTGTGAAGAAACACATTGTCAGACTGGGCTCCCGACTGTTTAACTGAAATTAAACCTCCACCTCTCAGCTGCTACATGTCTCTTCTAATGGAAAATCTGCTGAGCGTCATGTTAACAAATGATAGCCGTACAGTAACTGTTATGCTTATTGTAGCTGTTAGCTAAAAAAAGCTAATTTAGCGTAGTTTGCCCTGAATTCAGCTTTGACAAACAAATATGATCGACTGTTTCTAGTAGAATTCCAAAGTTGTCATTTGGACCCTCTCAGAGTACCCCCTCTGTATGCTTGCAGAGACCCCTACAGTAGGGAAACATGCAAAACGGTGTCCAAACCTTTGTATTTTAGCTTTATTTATGTCTTACACAGCATCCCAACTCTTTAGCTAACTTAATAACTTTAGCTAAAGTTAAGCTGCGTTTTCTCTGCTTTCCTGGTCCACGCATAAATGCAAAAACGAATTTTTCAAAATTATCCACCGAGATTTTTAAAAACCCTTTGGTTTTTAAAAGTTTCAGTTTTCAGCGACCGAAAAGACTGTTTACGTGCGTGACGTAGAAGGTATCAAGCAACCCCCAACCTCCCGTCAGATGATAGTCCCACCCTCTCCCTGTCTTGGTGGAAATAAAAAGAAACACGCACTTTCTTTCCTTCTTTCATTCAAACTTTACCTCTAGATGCAAGTGTATGTAAAAATCTGAATTCGCACAGTAGATTCGCAGATTAAAAACGTAATTTGGAACATCATTTATCGAAAACGGAAAAAACAACGATGAGATCGGCAAATCTATGCGCTGGAATGTCTGTTTGGATAACTGCGTCACACTTGTGGATTTTGTTTTGTGTCTTCCTCCTGGAGTTTACTTCTGCAGGTGAGATGTGCTAATAATGCTTTCGATTATGCTGAGCGAGTTCTTACTTGATGACATGTTTTTAATGAGTTTTTGCTGCTTTTATTAGTGAGCACTTACTTGACATATTTTACCTACATAACCAGCCAGGTGGTTACTGACGTCTATTCATTCATTTGCTGATCAGAGAATAAAAATAATCACGTATCAATGCGTCCATTCAAATAGTTATGATGCTTCCCGTGGAGAGAACAGAAACTATGTCCATGGCTGTTCTTTTCTCCTAATCTTAAGGTACTTCATTGTTCCTTTATTACGCAGTTTAGCACAGGATGCACAGCAACGCAACGCCCCCTGCTGGACATGGAATAGAATAAAATAGAATAGAATAAACTTTTATTATCCCACAAATGAGAAATTTATAGTCGTAGAAAGTAGTCCTAGTCGCGCACACACACACACTTACACTGATAAGCACTCACTCATCCCCCCTCCCTTTCCAACGCCTTCGACGCTTGTGCCCTACCGGGGAAGATGGCAGTCAACTGGACCAGCACAGATGCTGCAGGACCGGATGCGCTGTCTACACCGGCTCTCTCTTACCCTTTACCCGCCCCTGTTGCTTGTCTTGTGTTTCTATGGTGTATTGATAGTCATGTGCTTTTTTTCTGAGGTGTTTTTTCTGTTATCAAACTGTTCTCCCACTAGGAGCTCAGTCTGAGTGGAGTTTTTTTTCTCCTCCTCTTACCTCATGTAGTGTATTTTCGTTGTTTTTTTCCTATCAGCCTACCTTCTGACATGTCTGCCCAATGTGATGTTTGTGTAAAGTTGGTCAGAAGGTTCCTTTGTAAGTGCGCATGCGCCATTAGCGTGCTGCCTGCTGTAACCCTAATTTCCCTCGGGATGAGTAAAGTATTCTGATTCTGATTCTGATTATATACATAAGCAACTGAAATTCATATACACAGATAAAAATGTAGGTAGATTTGTACACAAGTGTGGGTGGTGTATGAATGCTCCTGGTGAACTATACAGTGTACAAACAAGCTGTTAACAAGCAATTACAAAACATCAGCTTAGCTTAGACAACATCCTCTCTCCCCAACCTGCTCCATGGACTTCAGTGGACAGTCCAGGACAGAGAGTCCTGTTCACCCCGAAGGATCTCAGCCACTGTAGCAGGTGAAGACAACTTAGACCCTTTTTGTAAAGTGTATTTGTGTTCGTGGACCAGTCCAGTTTGTTATTGAGGTGAACACCCAGGTATTTGTACTCCTCCAAGGTTCCAGTGTCCAAACCCTGGATGTTCACTGGTGTAATGGAGAGTGTCAGTCACCAGCTCCTTTATCTTGCTGGCATTGATGCAAACATGGTTCTGTTCACATCAGTTGACAATGTCACTGATGACACTTCCTATTCTTAATACATCCTGTATTAAGAATAGGAAGTAGATGTAAAACTATGATGATGATGATAATAATAATAAATGTTTATTTTTATTATTATTAATAAATATATTCATAATAATAATGGATTGCATTTATATAGCGCTTTTCGAGAGCCTCAAAGCACTTTTACAATTCCCCTATTTATTCACTCTCACATTCACACACTGGTGGAGGCAGCTACATTAAATAACATTTAATACTTGTGTGGTGATTTGACCAGTGTGCATATCTCCAGTGTCTTCTGATTGGCTGCTTTAGAAGTGAACAGTTATACTTGGATCCATCTCTGCTCTGTGTTGTTTCCTCTTTCAGACCAGAAAAACATCACAGCTGAGTCTGGACAAGACGTCACTCTGACATGTCGAGCTCCAAACAACGACTTCAAGCTTGTAGAGTGGAGCAGAACTGACCAGAGCAGAGCTGAACATGTCTTTTCGTGCCGGATTGTTACGAAAGGACACTTTGCTCCAGTTGAGCAGCATCCATCTTTTAAGAGCCGGGTGGATCTGCAGGACAGACAGATGAAGGATGGAGACGTGTCTCTGATTCTGAAGGATGTGATGATTAATGACACTGGAACATACAACTGCTGTGTTGTTGTGGGATCACTATCATGTGAACCCATCAACAGCATCTACCTTCATGTTGTTCCTCCAGGTGAGTGAGTAGAGTTGAGTGTGTGTGTGATCAGAGGTGAAGCTGCTTCCTGGTTGTTGATGTTTGTTTCTAAAGATGTTGTTGATGAGACTTTGTAGAAAGCAGCTGGTCTGAGTGATGTGATCAGA